TAATCAGTATTCCAGCCTAAGCCTAAAGCTTTTACCACATTTGGTTCATTTAAATCGAAAACAGTTGATTTTTCACGGAAGTCTTCCGGTATATGAGACATAAGTTCTGTGGAATTAGAAGTCCATTTGCGTAAATTAAATCCACCAGCGGATAATAATTGGACCAATTGATTTTGTAAGAATATTGCTTCTGACTCAGAGTCAGCACCAGAGATAATATCATCAACGTATGTATCAGTTTTCAATATCTTACACGCTTCTGGGTAAGTTTCGTTTTCATCTTGAGCCAATTGATGAAGAACTCGAATCGTTGCTGATAATGTTGATGGCTTTCTACAACTTTAATTTGGCGAAACATTTTCTCTAAATCCGATCGAAATCCTATTTTGAATCGTCGCCATCGATTAATTATAGTCGGCAAGTCATTTTGTAGAGCAGGGCCAGAAAAAAGTTCTTCGTTCAACGAGGAAGAAGGTAATCTTTTACTGCTACCGTCGAATACAACACGCAGTTTGGTCGTGGAACTAGATTCCCTCACAACACCGTGATGAGGCAGAAAATATCCATAATGTTGGATGGAGTGAGGATAGGGACCAATTTTTTCCATATGACCGAGCGATTCATATTCATCCATGAACTTCTTATATTCATAGGCAAAATTTGGGTCTTTAGAAAACTTACTTTCAACCTGTTTGAGTCTTTTTAATGCGCTAAAGTCACTGTGACTGAACACAGGGGGAGATTTGCCAATTATTTGAGACCGAAAGGGTAAAGCGACAGTATAGCGTCCATCTGAGCCACGAGTGTAATTATTTTTGAAGAAATCTTCACAAGATATTTCTTCATGTGTCAGTTTTCTAGATTCGATCAGCTCTTCTTGTTCCCAAAAAGCTTTTAACTGAGTGTCTAAGGAACACAAATTAATATTAACTCCCTTTGAGTAAGAAATCTCTGCCGTTGGGCCAGAAACTATCCATCCGAAATGGGTAAGTTGCAGAAAAATGCCTTTTTCGAATTTCTTTTGTTGAGGAAGTAAAATGTCTCCATACAGATCACCACCAATGAGCAAATCTATTTTATCGTTTTTGTCGAAATCTGGATCAGCTAATTCGAATTCATTTAATTGAGGCAGTTTTTGTCTGTCCACAGGACCAGCACAATAATTATTCAAAGACGGCATTACATAAGCTTGGCTTTCCAATTCGAAATCACTTTCAAAGTGAGAGGCAAGATTAAATTTCACAAATTTTCTTACAATAATAGTGTCTCCGCCTACACCAGTTATTCGGGCAAAGGTATTGTATTTTTTAAGCCTTAGAAGTTGAGATGCACTTTCTGTGATTAGGGTAGCTTGAGCTCCTTGATCTAAAATCGCTCTTAATGTGAAATTTCCATATTCGCTCTTTATTATGACACGAATAGTTGCTAGCAAAACATGAGGCATTACTGTAGTGTTCATCAAGGACAAGTTAATATTTGAACTACCATTTGAGGAAGAAGTTATATTTTCAGATCGACTTTCAGAAACAGTCGAGTTATTTAATCTATTCTGATTGCTGTACTCGTTGTGCATAATAGTATGGTGAGCAAGGTTGCAAGATTTGCAACGACTAGTACTTTTGCAGTCTTTCGAGAAATGTCCAATATTCAAACAATTGCGACAAATTTTGTTTGAATTAATAAACTCTCGCTTAGAGGCAGAAGACATAGCAGCGAATTTGAAACATTTGTATAGAAAATGGCGCTTACCGCAACAGGGGCAATTTTCGTCATTAACAGACGCCATATTTATTCGACGATTTTGAGTCAGTTTTTGTGGTTGGTGCGATTTCGAGTAATTAGGCTTAAATTGAGATCTTGAGGAACAATCAGTATATTCAGAAATTGATTCCAATGTTCGAAACGTCGTTTCGAGAAAATTGTATAACACTGATATATTGGGTATTTCAGTTGTGGCCTTCAATGACTGTTCCCATTCCTTACAGGTTTGGAGATCTAATTTGCTGACAGTAATGTGGATAAGCAGAGGATCCCAATTGGAACAGTCAATGCCTAATGTGCTCAATAGAGCCAAGCTATTTCTTGTCGAGTCAAGGAGGGTTTTTATGCTTTCACATGAGCCATTAGATTTCGGGATACTAAGCAATTTCCGTAGAACTGTATCAGTTATTTTCCGTTTATTGTGGTATCTCTGTTCCAATGCAGTCCAGGCTAAATCATAGCTCCTTTCAGAGGCAGGATATTCATTTACAATAGACAATGGTGTATCTCGGCACGAATTTTTCAAAAAATAATATTTTTGCACATTGGACAAACTATGATTATTGTGCACGAGAGAAATGAACATGTCTCTATAAGAGACCCAATTTAAATAATCACCAGAGAAAGTGGGAATGTCTATCTTCGGAAGACGAACGTCTGGGATAATAGTATCGTTCCTTTGAGAAGATGAGGCATGGAATGTAGAATGGAAATTCGGAGAACTCGGAGCACGATATTCAGAAATAAAATCGAGCAATTTTCCTTTTCCACTGAGATAAATTCTAAAAAATTGATAATGGACATCGTCGTGGAAGTATGGGACATCAGCAGTATTAATTGATTTGTCCCTAACGATATCGAAAAGTTGCTCATGGTTAGCTTCAAAAGTTTTTTTAATTTCTTCTATCTCATCGAGACAGCTTTGGCACAAACCTCGGGTTTTTTCACCAATGGACAATTGTTCGAAATCCGAAATGATTCGTTGAACACGGGTCATTAAAATCTTTTGATCTTCAATTGATCTTGAGTAATCCTCCATTTTAATTTTATGCAAAATTTCACTTTGGAGAATTTATAATTTAAAATGTCCCAGTAGTGGAGTAGAAATAAAATTTTTATAAAATTGTCCGATTAAAATTCCTCACCAATATGAGGCAGAGTCCTGTAGTTTGGCACACACAAACTTGATAAAATATAATTTTTATTATTTCCCAGAGACGGGGCGGATTGGTTTCAGTTTTTAAATTAATGGCTCCTCGAGCCAGCGCAAAAAAAAACACAAAAAGTTTTCGTTCAAATTTAAATTGTCTCGGGGGCAATTTATTAAACACAAAATTATAATTTAATATAATTTGTAAATATAAGCCTCCTTATGGGACAATAATTAATTATTATAATTTAAAATAATTTCACTTAATTTAATATTGATTTAAATAAACAAGAAACCCGAGTTAGGCTAATTGGCAGCAAGGCAGAAGTTAAAATTTGATTGTTGATCGGTATAAAGCAGCACGGCAGAGAAACTCGATAGAACTAAAAATCTAATGCAAATAAAAAACATAACAAGCCGGCATTGATCTTATTTACTGTCTCTGCTTTCGCTATTGTCTTTGTTATGACGTCGCTGCATTATGTTTAGTAAATAAACAATGCAGCGACAACAACAACAATAACAAAGAATAACAATAAATACCAACTAAATTAAATATTAAATAAATAAATAATCGTTTGTTCTCCAACAACCACAGTGTGGTGAAAGGTATAAAAAGAGACCAGATGTACAGGAGTAAGAATGAAGTCGGAAAATTCTACCAACGGATAAAACACCAAATCGAAGGCTTTGGTGCAGGCACATCCTCATGTAGAGATAAAGAAGGAATCCTGGTGACAGATACATACAGCGTGCTGAGGATCTGGAAGGAGCATTTTTAAAAACTTCTGGTATCAAATAGTAGCGGTGAAGAGGATACCCTAGAACCAATAATAGATGACGGTATAGAGTGTATGCCACCTAGCCAAGATAAAGTCAGAATAATAAAGAATAATAAAGCAGCAGGTGCGATTGGTTACAAGACTGGTGGTCAGATGATGGTAAGGAGGATGCACCAGCTGATTAGTACAATTTGGTTAGAAGAATGCATGCACAATGGTTGGAACCTCAGCACCCTGAGACAAGACGATATGTGCCAACTATAGAGGAATAATTCTCCTTCCCATCGCATATAAAGTGTTATCCAGCGTACTGTGTGAACGACTGAAGCCAAAGGTCAATGACATTATTGGACCATACGAATGTGGCTTCAGACATGGCAAATCCACCATTGACCAGATCTTGGAAAAAACCCACGAAAAACACATCGACACATTCCACCTATTCGTCGAATATAATATAAAGCGCATTCGACAGCCCTATCCGTTCAGAGGTGTATAAAGCCATGTCTGCGTTTGGCAAACAAGGTGACAGTTTGTCGTGTGACCTTTTTAACATCCTGCTGGAAAAGGTTATACGAGAGGCAAAAGTGAAAAGAAATGACACTCTGTACACCTAAACAACACATGGCTCGCCTACGCCGATGACATCGACATAATGGATCGAACACTGAGAGCGGTAACAGTCACCTTTGAACAATTGAGAAGGAGTCTGCCAAAGTGGGTCTGGCAGTAAACGGCGAGAAGACCATGCTGATGGTATCAACGGGCAAGACGTCCAGTAGCCTCGGACCAACTATGAAACTTGAGAATCTTCGATGTAGTCAAAGATTTTATATACCGTCGAATGAACCATGAGTTGTACCAACTATTCTCGGACATCGACATTGTTAGATGTATTAAGCTGCAGCGACTACGTTGGCTAGGTCATGTTGTGAGAATGGATGAAGATGCCCCAGCCCAGAAAGCATATAAAAGCGAACCAGCTGATGGTTCACGCAGAAGGGGAATACGATGGAAAGATCAAGTCGAAGACAACATTGCCGAAAATGGTCTTTCAAATTGGAAAAACTGCGCAAAAGACCGACGCCCTGGAAATCTTTTCTAAGCTCGACTTATGGAACGAAAGTGCTGTCACAAGCCAGCTAAGTAAGTTTAAGGAACTACACCAGGCTTGGATTTTTATACCCTACACAACAATGTTACCAGGGTATTATAGTTTTGTGCAGCCCCAAAAGTTTGTAACGCCGCGAAATATTGGTCCTAGACCCACCTTTAAGTATACCCATCGTCATATCTCGACTAGCTGAGCCGATCTAGACATGTGTGCCCGTCCGTCTGTCCTCTATAATTTGTTAACACGATACAGGCCACAGTTATGGATCAATCTTTATGAAATTTTGCATGTAGGATGGGTTCTGGCCAATGAAGTCCCCTATTGTTTTTGGTAAAGATCAGTTAATATTTAAGGGATGAAATGGACCAAAAAACTTATTTTTTGTCTGATTTTCTGGTCGGTAGCGAATTTTTACATGGAGAAGGGGATTGGGCCAAAGAATAATCATGCCCGTTTTGATAACGATCGGTCAAAATTTAGCGGGTCAAATTGACTCTGACTTTTGTGTGAAAAAGGACAAAATTTGTATTCTATAGGGAATTTATTTAGAGAAGTGGTTGGCCTTTAAATTAATACCAATTATATTTTCGTATGTACTCGAACTCGAGTTGAACGTTTTGAAATGTTCCATGAGGATCCAGTTATGGTCAAGGACAACGCCTGTAATTTTCGGTGATGATCAGATAATAATTTTGAGATGAAGTGGACCGAAAACTTATTTTTTTTGTCTTTTTTTTTTTTTTTGAGTCGATCTATTGGCTACAATTATAAGCCGAACATCACAACACAACCCACGGTGAAGGGAATATGGACAAGTAATTAGAAGCACTGTACTGTACTGAAGTAATATTCGGCGTGGATTTTTTAAAGAATATGGGTTTATATGGATTTTTAAAGAATATTTTTTCTAAGACCTATACAAGGCGTGGATTTTTTAAAGAATATTTTTCCAAGACGTACACAACAGACCAACAAGGCGAGCATTTTTTTTAAATATTTTTTTTTAAGGACTTACACAATATTGTAATATTTCTTATTAGAAATTATTTTTCACAGTACCTATATATTGGAGAGTCCTTAATAAGGCCATCCAGATTAGTGTGAGTACATCTGACGATCTTCCATAATGAAATTAAATTCCGTTTTGTCCTTCATTAAATTTAAAATAAAAATCCCCCAATTTCACGATCAAAAGAGACCTCCAATATACATTACCAAATATTTAATTTAAGAAAACAAACATATTATTCGCAACTTCGTGTCTTTTCTGGGTCAATTCCTTACAACATCCCAACCGTCAACCGTTAATTGAGCAATTACTAGATCAAATACAATAGCTATGTGTGTTAAATACCAATCAATTTATTGATTAACAATCAGCTACGATCGAAGCTTCAGGCAAATGCATTCGACGCATGTGTATTCATACCTATTTACATACATACTTACATACATTACATGTGATAATGTGCGTCATGGGCTAGCACCATTGTTTGGCTTTAGCAACAAAGCTATTGAGAGCTAGCGGCGAATAATTCGCATAAACTGAATTTTCCAGAAATTACTTGAATTGGCCGACCGGCACACAATGTGCCGATATTTTCTTTTTTCTGTTTGAATATGCAAATTTAGTTGATTTTTTTTTTATCGCCAAAATGGATTGGAGAACTGTTAATTGTTGTAACACATAATTGTTAACTAACTGTAAAATTTTTAACATCGATTTTGAATGTGGATTAAAGTAGAAAAAATAAGAACACAATGAACGCTTAATGACACTCCGATATAACGACGGAAATTCTTTCTCCTCCTTATTACTCAAAGCATCGTCATGTTACTCGATTAGTCGTCCTTGCATTAGTTTGCTCCTTAATCATTTCATCGGTATAATTCCAGCTAAGTAGATGATTTGTCTGCTGTTGCCAGTCCTAGGCAATGGGACTGCCATCTATCGTTGACTAGAAACCACGTCTAGTTGTATTTTGAGCAGTGGTTGGGATCCTTGCTTATTAAGTGTTGACATTTTTCTCTGGGTGGTGTCGTTGCTATTTTGTATTATCCTCGTGTGTTGTGGAAGCCTTATGGGAACATATGGCATCAATAGCAATCGCCATATTACTCAGTTATTCGTTGTTATTCATTGTTTAATTCTATGTAAATGTTTGTGCTACTGAAGCCTGGCCTAGGTTATGGGACTGACATCAACTTTTGGCTACAAACAACGCCTTTTGAATGTTGTAATTTTCCATTCTGGGTGGCGCTATTACTCATGTATTGCCGAAGCCTCCTTGGAGCATAGGGCTTCTACAAAACATCGCCATATTACTCTTCCTTTGATTTGTGTTTTGGTGTCTTTGCTAATTTAGTGTTGCAATTCATGTCTGGGTGGCGCTATCTCCTGCCATTCCTATTTGCTTTTTAGGGTTTTTTTAGAAAGAACTAATATAGTAACAAAATAGTCCAAAACACCTATTATTATCGCAGCTTATGTGAGTGATACTAGTTGAGAGAAATGTTCCTAAAAACCTAAGTTTTAGGAACTTCCACTGAGGAAAATTTCTTTACTGAAAAAAATGTCATACACTATAATTGTATTAGTTTCGGAGTTTTAAAATAAGATCTTCATCCGATTGGCCACGTGATTTCAAAATGTTGAGAAAAAAATGGGAAATGTGGCGGAGAATCTCCTGAGATGATATATGACCTCATCTAGAAGAAACTGTCAAACAGTATGGTGGACAAAGAAACAAAGGATGATATTATTTCAGTTAATATGCCGAGAAAGCAGTGGATGAAGTAAGGAGAGACTCTCCTGACATTCTGAAAAACCTAATGTCCAGTCACCTACCGTTAGAAGAAATCACAACTTGTAGCTTTAAGGAAAAGTGCATGTAAGTTATATAATAAAGTTAGCAGAACCATGCTAAGTTAATGAAGCAGTCAGATTTCGAAAAATAATATCTAATGACCCAAATTCGATAAGTAGAATGAAA